GACACACTCACACGCTTGTTCATAGTCAGCAGCTTCCTGTGTCCACTGGTGCCACCTTCCCTGCAGCCTGGGCTGGGGCTGGGGATAGGTCTGTGTCAATGGTCTTGCTGGGGTGGGAGGGCCCCCAGGCCTGCTGCCCTCTCCCTGGGATGGGGTCGTGGGGGCTGCAGGTGCCAGGGGCTGGTCCCAAGGTGCTTCATCTCTTGCAGAGCCTTGGGTGGGCATGCATCCCCTGCCCCTGGCCCTGCTGGCAGCCTTCCTGGCCCTGCTGGCCACCACCATTGCCCTGGGGCTCTGTTGTGAGTAGGTTCCCATGGGGCTGGCAGGGACTCTGAGGGGTGGGGGCAATGGGCAGGGGTGGGGGCAGCATGGAAGACTCTGGGCAGCCTTGCCCCTGTGTCCATGTCCATGTCTGTGCCCTGGTGCTGCTTTTGGAGGCCCTTGCCAGCTTTTCCATCCCTGTGGGCCCAGGGCTTGGGTGGAGGTGTGAGTACTGCGGGGTGGGGGTGGAGGTTCTGGTGCTGGGAGAAGGAGTTGAGATGGGGCAGCGTGTCCCTGGTCTGGGTGCCGACTTTGGGCTCTGGGAGTCACCACGGGCCAGGGCAATGTGTCAGGAATGTCTGTAACTGGCTGCGGGAGACCCACTGGTCTGCTCCTGTTGATGTAGCCAAAGCTGTGCTCGCCTTTTGTGTGGTGCATCACACTGCAGATGCATCCCAATGCTGGGCACAGCCAAGGCTCCCAGGTCCATAGCGCTGCCATCCTGATGGGGCCTCCCAGACTCTCCCTTCACTTCGGATCGTTCCTCCCTGGGGCAGTGCCTTGCATGTGCACTGCCCTGCTCTGCTCAGCTCTGCCATCCACCCGACTCTCCAGGCTGTCGTGGTCTTTCTGGACTCTGCTCCCCTCTGACAGCCTGTTTGCAGTCCTGCCCCATCTCATGTCCAGTGAAACCTCATGTCCAGTACCTTTGTGCCTGCATCCAGGTCCTTAATAAACACGCTGCACAGTCCCAGGCCTGGGACAGAGCCCTGTGGGACTGCAATGGAAACCACCTTCTAGTCAGACGTGGATCTGTTCATAATGACCTGCACAGAATGGGGATCTGGACAGTATTGCCTAGTGGCAAAACACTGAGGGGCACAGGTGCAGCCCAGGACTGCTTGCAGGAGGAGCAGCGGGGTGTTCAGAGGGGTCTGGCATATGACCTGGATCCAGGAACCATAGGAGAGGAAGGGACAAGCTTTGGCCTCAGAAGCTTTTGCATCAGAAGCTTTGGCGTCAGAAACTGAGACCAAAGACAAAGAGAGCTGAGGATAACCACAACCAGAAGCCAAATGCTAGAGCTGAGGTGAAACCGGAGTCTCATGGGAACTCTGAGGTCTCCCGGAGCTGGAGCCAGGAGTCCCCGTACATCAGCATGGAGATGCACAGTCAGTCAGGACATGACCCTTCCCCTTGGTGCAGTCTTACCTCAGTCCTGGGGAAGCTTTTCAAAAGACTTATCCTGGCACATGTCCAGGAAGGGCCGGCAGGGAGGTTATGCTCAGGGGCAACCAGCACGGGTTCATTAGGGGCAGGTCTTGTCAAACCAACCTGGTGGCCTTCTATGAGCAGGTCACCAAGTCCTTGGATGCAGGTGTCGCGGTGGATATAGTCTTTCTGGACTTCAGGAAGACCTTCGACATGGTCTCTCACCCCATTCTCAGTAAGAAACTAGGAGACAGTGGTGTTGATGCCTACACGGTCAGATGGGTCACTAACTGGCTGGAGGGCCACAGCCAGAGAGTGGTGGTGGACGGGTCTTATTCAACCTGGCGGGATGTGGGCAGTGGGGTTCCCCAGGGCTCGGTCCTCGGGCCCGCACAATTCAACATCTTCATCAGCGACTTGGGCGAGCGGGTAGAAAGCACCCTGTTCAAATTCGCAGACGACACTAAGATGTGGGGGGAAGTGGGCACGCTAGAAGGAAGGAACAGGCTGCAATCAGATCTAGACAGGTTACAGGGGTGGGCCGATGAGAACAGGATGGGGTTCAACACTGACAAGTGCAGGACAATGCACCTGGGGAGGAAGAACCAGAAGCAGAGCTGCAGGCTGGGGAACTCCCTTCTCGTCAGTGTTGGACAGAAAAGGATTTTGGAGTCATTATTGATGCCACAATGAACATGGCCGGCAGTGTGGGGACGTGGTCAGGAAGGCCAACCGCACCTTGTCGTGCATCCACAGATGCACCTCGAGCAGGTCTGTGGTGGGCCAGTAGAGGGCGCTCCTGCGTTGAGCCGCCCACCTCCCTGCGCCCGACCACCTTCCAGGCTCCAAGTGCCTCCCTGGGGTGCCTCACGTCCGGCCGACCCCTTCCCTGGAGCACCCCCGCTAGCCTGGGGTTCCCGCTGCCACCATCCAAGGCTCTGGACTCA